CCCTTCCCTTCCCTTCCCTTCCCTTCCCTTCCCTTCCCTTCCCTTCTCTTCCCTTCTCTTCCCTTTCCTGGGGCGGGGGGGGAGGCAACCAAAAGAATCCCAAACAAACGTAAAAAGTCGAAAAGTTTCTGTACCAGTTCTCTGCAAATACAAGTTAAAGCAGGATTCTTCGCCCCCCAAATTACACTTCATCAGTTTATTTGAGATAACAGCCTCCTAAGTCCCCAAAGAGACTACCCCACAAGTTGACTTGTACGAGGGGCGACTATATTGATGACTTCCTGTATTTTACTTTGTGGTAGCCATTACTTAAAATGGACTCCCCAGAATTCAATAGACTTAACTTCCCCCTTGAAATTAACGGTGCTAAGATTTTGAACGATTTTGAACGTCCAGATAATGACCTTTATAATTAGGCTGCGGGACCCTCACTAGGGGACAGGATGAGGAAGGGTCTGTTCCCTTTCCCCATCGGAGTAGGGGATAGGAAATGCATGTAACTGTGCATCGCTGGTCTTCATAACGATTCTCCTAATGCGCTGGTTATAACACCTTCTTAGGGCTCTGTGCAATATAAAGATGACATTTAGCAGCACCTCCATTTTGTCAACAGTAATGTTGGTAATTTCACTGAGCAAATGGACTGCAGAAGACTCTTCTGCTAATCTAGAGAGATTAAAAATAAACAGGCCAGCAAAGAGGCAAGGAAGGTACGGCACAGGCTAAAAATGAGAAACAAAACTGAGTCCCCACAGCACGGCCACGAAACCATTTCATGCAGACTCGCCAGGCTTAGGTTGCAAACATCCCGGACACCCATTAAGGGATTTTAACACTACATGTTGCTTTCTCTTTGCGATCAGGAATAGAAGCACTCTCATGTCGGACAGGCTCGGGAACACACTGAGATCCTGATGGAGCAGAGGCTGCAATGCGGTGCACTTATACGTTGTCATTAAAGCCCGGTGAGGCCTATTTATAAATAGCCTTGCTCTTGTAAATGAGATGGTCGGGAGAAGAGAATCGGGCCTGGTGATAGAGAAGAGAATAGGGTTCTGGAGCAGAACCTCAGACCCCTAGTGCACTTTCGGAGGGAGATGGTCCCATCTGCAGGCGAGCAACTCTCAAGAAAAATATTTCCTGCTGACTTTGATTCGGGTAACAATCCAAAGCATAGCTAAGGCACTGTAAACAACAAGGCGATTTCCTTTTCAGTAAACATGTCTGGGATCGGGCTGAAAATCTCTTACAGCCGAGAGACAAGAGGCTATTTTGAATGACAACGTCCAGAGAAATTAGCCCGCTGCGGAAAAAGTCAAAAAGCTTTCCTACTGTTTTGGAGTAAAGCTCTTTTTGTTGGATGCAGGAAATGTCACTACCTTAGTGGGTAGGTGTGAATTTAGGAACATGGAAGCAACGCTTTTTTATGCGAGGTTTTTACTTTGCTTTTAAACGAACGGAAGGCAATGAGAGTAGGTGCATCTCTCTCTCTCTCCCCCCTCCCTCTCCCTCTCTCTTACACACACACACACACACACACACACACAGAGAGAGAGAGAACAGTCTGCCGAAATGGATTCTAATTGAAGGAGCAGTGCAAAGCCTACGATTTAGGACAGGCAGGAAAAGACAGCACCAGCAAGTGTGTAAAAAGGCTTTTTTTCGGAGTGGCGAGCGTCGAGGACGCTGCTTAAGTTAAACCAAGACAGTCGCTATCAAGTTTGGGCCTGGATTTCACTCTGGTGTCTCGCATTGAAACTTATGTTGTGATTTTTTCCAAGCATGGAAAAGTTTTCAAACCTGCCCAGTGACCTAATTTTGAAAGTCCCACATCCCCTGTTGTTTGTACCGTTTTATCTGAAGAATTCAAAAGTTTACACTTTTTGCAGATCGCATTTTGCTTGACTTAATGAAGCTATTTGCCCAACTATCGATTGGGCTTTTCAAATCAGGTTTAGGGTGGTGGGGTTTTGTTTTGTTTGGTCGCTGCTGATTTGCCAATGTTAGCATTTCTTATTTGTGTTGATGTAAGGATCTTGCACATGGAGTTCTGTGTTTTGCACCATGGCATATCTCCTGATAAAGATGTGCAAAAGAAGGAGATGTGGTTGCTTTTTTTATGACTATGGTTCTCCAATAAATAGGAAACAAGACTGTGCTCTCAATATTACAGGGAGAAAGTTACTGCTCCTTTTGGCAGGCAATCTTTAGGCCTGAGTCTGTCTTTTAAAAAGAAGAAAAGTCCACTTACTCATGCTTTCTGTCTTACATATGAATTTACTAATTTTAGGTGGAAAAAATTCAGACCCAGGAAAATGCATGCCTCAATAAATATCTATTTAATCAGAGGGCAGGAGATTAGGTGTTTCAACTTGATTGGAAGACAGCCCTCATATATCCCCTAGAAAGGCCTCCATGGCTATTCTGCTCTGCTTGAGACGGGGGATATAGCTCTCCCTTTCTCAGCCTCAGCCTCAGCCAGCCTTCTGCTCAGACTCTCTGGCCCTGCGCGACCAGCTCGGGGGCCAGTAACTGATCCTGTATTGGCAGGGCGGTGTGGCTGCATCCAGAATCGAAGCCAGCAAGCTTGGGAAGGTATGATCGCCGAGCGGGAAGCGCAACAGCCGCTAAGAGAAGCCTGCCTCTGCCCGTAATCGTAGGTCAGTTTTTCGGAGCTGCAGGCTCTCGGTAGCCTCATTTTTACAGCCCGACCTATTGTCGCCGTAAATCTACAGAAATGCGCAGTGCAAGATATTCCTCCATCGGGGAAAACAGACAATTCTCCCAGAGCAGAGCAAGCGGGAGTCGGCTACCTCGCAGTCCAGGAGACTAAAAGTACGAGGGTTGGGATCTTCCGCTGGGGCATCTGGAAATGCACTTCTTCGGAGACACGGCAACTGGATTCTTTTGGATTGGGGATTTCGGCCGCTGGATAGACCGCGCTGTGCCCGACAAAGTTCACCCACCCGAAAC